AGGCATAGGATTTATAAGTAATACGGTACAGATCAACTCATATTTGCTTGTTTTTACATATATATTCATTTTTGCTGTGAGTGCTTGAGTTTTGTTTGTTTGTTTATGTGCGTGGAATTAAAAAAAACCCCCTCTGTATATGTATGTACATTCTACAACAAACAGCGACAGGATGGGTTATTGTGATTTTGATTGTTGTTGTTGGGATGGTGTGTTCCTCAGTGTTTTGATGTGTCTGCTGTCGGTTTTCAGATTTGTGAGCGATGGAACACTGGTTCAAGTTGGGAGGCTACAATTTAAAGCATTACACGTGCCTGGACATACTGCTGGTCACATAATTTACGCTTTGCAGCTAACAGATGATCTCAAATGCCTTTTCACTGGAGATTTCTTATTCGTCGCTGGCATTGGTATGCACTGTATCATATTTTTTCAACATATAATAATTTCATTCTTAATGTTTTTTTGAAGTCTGTGACACATATAGTATACGAAGTGTAACAGTTGAGAGGGTTAGTTCTTTGAGATTTTCTCATATTTTGCCGATTTATTTCATGAATTAGTTTGGTAGTGAAAATGATCATTTATTATGTTTTACTCCATTGCACTTAAAGTGCATTTGCTCTTTAGGTAAGATTTTCGAAGGCAGTGCCTCGCAAATGATCAATTCGTTGGCAGTACTGAATGATTTTCCATCGCATACGCTCGTCTTTCCGGGGCATGAATACGCAAAGCTTAATTTGGGATTCGCTCTTTCACTGGAAGATGATAACGATGATCTAAAAGCAATGATCAAGACGGCATGCGAGAAACGAACTCTACGCACACCTATTGTACGTCTAACGTTTTGGGCATCTTGTTGGTTTGAGCGCTTTTTGTTGATATTTAAAAATATTAATTGTGACAGATTTATGTACTAAGATTAGTTTTGGATAGCAAAGTGGTTGGAAATATACAGGGGAAATTAGGAGGAAAGCTGCTTTTGTCAAGATGTCGTTTTCGAAGAGCTAAACTCGTGGAAATTCAGAATTTGTTTCTATTCTTAATGAATTTGACTAAAAAAAAATCCCGAATTCCACACGGGATTGTCAAGGACCGTATCGTCTGAAACAGCTTAAAGATCTTGCATTAGCACGAAAGTACTTACTTCTGATTAATTTCTTGAATTTGCAGCTCCGATGTTTGCACAGGTAGTAAAATCATCATAAGATCGAATGCAGTTCAGTTCATATGTTTCAAAAAAGTAAAAGAATCTGGCGTTGTTGAGTGCAGCATTTGAGTTGATATTTTAGAGTTATTTTTGATGACTGCTTTAAACTTTCAGATCTCAAAGTGGTCTCATATCCTAAAAGAAATAAATGGCCAACGCACGGGCTGCCCATGCGAAGATGCGTTTTTTGCAGAGTTCCCCGC